AAAAAAAAAAAAAAATCTATAGCAAAAACTGAGATGTCAGCCCAAGCGCTGCTGACATAGCAATTAATGCACAAACGTGTGCAGCCAGAGTGCAACAACTGGGTCAGTGATTCCAGACAGTGCTAGCATCAAAGCTGATGCCCAAGTTAAGCACAATTCCAGCAAGTGGTGCTAAAGTGTAGTCAGTCAGTTTTATAATCTGCATCCATGGCCAATGCAATGCATTCTGGGAGACAAAGCCTCAAAAGTTGGAATAAAAAGCAATGAGACCCTTCTGCGGGACACCTCTGTACTGCTAGCGGCCTGTAGGATTTGATGTCTGTGCTTCTAGATTAATGCACATGCTGCATAGATTTGAACAACACTCACTGTGCTCTTAAGAGTCATTCACAAAATTCCTCCTGTGATGACCAGCTCAGTATGTCATTTCACAACTGTTTATAGAGTTTAGCTTCTCAAAACATATATTCCTTATTCAGGACTAAATACAAGACCAAAAAACAATGTAAATTTCCTTTAAGTTGTTCAGAGGTGCATAAACTACATGGATTTTTTTTTGTGCCTTTTAGCATCAAGAGAACAGATTAGATTTTAAAAGTGGAACCGAGGGCTGACCAAAATCAGTTTTAAAGAGGGGGGCACATTTGTACTTCATTCAGGGTGAATTGTGGCTTCAATGAGGCCTTTTTCAGCCGTCAATGGCTAGCTGGCACAGAGGAAAACAAGCACAGGCTTCATGTTTTTTTCATGAGGACAAATGAAAAATAAAAATCCACATGAGGAGGAACCAGAGAGCCAAGGCAAGCTAGGCTTAGAGATAATGTCAGTCTGGATTAGAGGAGTGGTTAGTCCGATCGACCAGGTTATTCCTGAGCTCCTCTGAGTGCCGTGAAACCACCCAGGCGCATGGAACAGTGTGTGCCCGGCTCCCGCCTGCTCGTAGGAAATAAGGGTCCGAAGGGACCTCAGCAGGGCATCCAGTCCAGCCCCCAGATCCACCCACACCTTGGGCTGTGATGAACCCCTTTCATGTCGCTGCCTCCTGTTTCCAGCCCCCACAAATCCGTGGACCCAGCCAGGGAACGGGCCCCCCCCCCGCGCCTCCAGGAGGCCCCGCTCCCAAACCGCCCACCCCCGGCCTCGGCTGCAGCAGGGAGCTCTCCAGAGGGAGAGGCAGCAGCGGCCTCGACCCTTCCAGCCCGAGCCTCACAACACTGGTGCCGGCCTCGGAGCTGCCCCCGCCCCCGTGCCCGTCCCAGCCGCCGCGTCCTGCCCGCCAGCTAAAGCTGCGGAGCCCCAGCGGGCCCGGCCGGCGCGGAAACTGCTCCTCACCGCCAGCTCCAGCCATCGCCGCGATCGCGTGACCCTTCCCGTCGGGCGCTCTATGACGGCTGCGCCCGGCGCGTCACTGCAGCTGGTCTGTGACGTAGCACCGGGGCCGGGGGTTTACACGTCACGACGGGCTTCTGCGCGGCGGCTGTGTTAGAGAGTGCCCTGAGTGCGGATTTTGACGTCACGCGGGGCAGCAACGGTGGATAATCCCTCTCTCTGCCCCCCCCCACTCCACTTCCCACAGACACACACCCACTCCACCCACAAACACGCACACAATCCCCTAGCGCGCGCACACAATCCCCACTCCCCCACAGTAGGGTTGCCAACCCCCCAGGCTTGTCCTGGAGTCTCTGGGAATTAGATATAACTCTCCTGGAGACTGCTGAGAGTCACAGAGAGATAAATGATAGGGCATTCATTAAAATAAACATTACATGTTGAATCCGATTTACACCCCCCCAAGCTGCACTTCAAGGGCACATCCAGGTTGGGGATGAGGCTTCCTAGCAATCCGTTGTGGAGTCCCCATCCCTCGGGGGTTTTGCACCAGGGAGAATCCTGCCTTGGGCAGGCGGCTTGCCTGGATGAGCTTGAGGGCCCTTCCAGCCCTTCCTTTCCTGCGTTTTGCAGCAGCAGAGCCAGCCTTTCACTTGAGGGGCAGAGCAGAAACCTATCGGGTTGGGGACAAGGAATCAATTTGGCTGGGTAAAATGCATCTTTGCTGGCCTATGTTGCACCTACAGCAGGGTTGCTTTGCTGGTACAAGGCTGAGACGGTTCTGCTGGCAGTGTTCCTCCCTGGGGCTCAGCCACAGTCGAGAAGCTGCACTGGGCAT